TGCCTTTTGTAGGGAGAGGGGTAGAGGGAGAGAATTTGGAACTGAAAATACAATACAATTGGAAAAGAAAAGTCCTCTTACAATTTACAGATGAAGAAACTGAAACCCAGAAACGTTTGCTTAATGTCACACAGCTATTAAATGGGAGAGTGGACTCAAATCCAGATCTATTGATTTCCTATCCCAGGTCATTTCCACTATTATGTGTTGTCTCTTCCCCGATAGGTGTTAACTGTGTGTGATGTTGTAGAAAAACTCTTTGGACTTCTATTCTTTCCAGTTTTTCTAGGTTGTGAGCAGATGATAATAAATTACATAAGCAGCAAATTATGAAGAATGAGTCTGCATGACCAGAATTATTTGGTAGAGAGGCATCTTTTCCAAGAGTGAGGCTCCTCAAAATGTACCCCAACTTCCCTGAGGAAATTCTCTCATTATGGAGCAACTTTCCAGAGCAGGCCAAAGGCTGCAGTCACAAGAGATCTAGTACTAAGGTACCTAGTGGGTCAGAGGCCAACCCCAGGAAAACCAAGACTAGGTCTGAGGAGGAAGGGAAAGTGTTACAGGGTTTAGGATAAGAGGATCACTTCAGGAGTTGTCTGGGACAGGGGATGGGGAAATGGGATAGGGTAGAAAACTTTTCATGGCTTCTTTGAAGATCCTCAGAACCTCAATATGGGGGTCTAGGCAATTGGCAATCTTTTCTACAGGTTTCTGAAGAAGATGCCCTACCCCGGAATTTCTTCCCTTTTTTTTATGGTTTGCAATTCTTTAATTTCCTTAGTCTTCCTTAAATCCTACTGTTAAGAGATTCATTTGCATTTCTTTAACCTCCTTTTAAAATGTGAGTTCAGGTTCAGGACTACTACTAGGGGTCTTAGTCATCTAGTAACTCTTTAGTGTGAATTAGTTTAAATAACTTGTCTTTTAATGCCTAGTAGAAAGAAATCTGTGTCCTAGAGGAAATAGGATTTTTAATTGGGGATTGGGTGAGGGTCAATGATTTGGAGGCATAGGATATTTAGGAATATGAAGCTAGAGAAGGACATAGCAAAATGGGAGAAAGGTATACTAGGAGGTAGAAGAGGGGCTCAGAAATGAACATAGGATGCCTGAGCTCAGTAAATTTCCAGTTTTACCTAATCCTGGCTCTATCAGGCATTCAGGCTGTCAGAGATACACAATTAGACCACTGACATAATCTAGTGGTTCAGAAGGGACTTGGGCATCCTTCTGGTCCTGGACAGAAATATGGGATCCTATGGTTTAGAGCTGGAAGGGGCCTCAGAAAGCATTTTGTTCACCTTTTTTCTTTTCTTTTTAAAAAATGTTCTAATTAATATTTTCTGCTTCTTACATCTCTATAGTTATCCAAAGTATCTCTCCCTCTGCTCATCCCACAGAGCCATCCTGTTGTGGTTTGGGGTGCTAGGAACCCCAAAATGTAAGGGTACAGGGTGAGTCTGCCTTGAAAAAATTCAACCACTCAAGCTTTCTTTCAGTCCAGTATGGGGGGAAAGATTCCTAGTAAATCTGTGATGTAATGAAGGTTAGAATGATACTTTTATACAGAAAAAGGGGGAAAGGGTCAGTGAAAAGATCATGATGGGATTAAGGAGTGGTAAGTAGCCTGGGGTAGGCCTGGGGCAAGCAAAGAAAGGAATTAAGTGATCTGAGAGCCACAGTGAAAGGGCAGTTAAAAGGATTATTGAGTATCTAGGTTGGTTGGGATGGGCCAGATGGCTCAGGAGAAATGCCAGTGTGGGAAAGTTCAGGGGCTGGGTTGCTTTCAGAGACATGGTCTTTTCCTTTTAGGGGTCCAGGTCCCATTACCCCATCAATCTTACGTGACAAATAGTATTTTTTTAGAGAGGAAAAAATATTACAACTGATTGATACATTGAAAAAGTTAGAAAATGTGTGTGCAGTATATAACATCCTGCCTCCATGGAGGGGTAGGTTGGACATTTCCTTTATTTTCTGGGGGGTAAAACTAAGGTTCAAAGACATCATGTAATTTATCCTGGGATTTAAATCTGGACAGTTCTAGGGGCAGTTTCATGGTATAATGGAGAGAGCATTGAGCCTAGAATCAGGAAGACCTGGGTTCAAATTTGGCCTCAGTTCTTCTTAGCCGTGGGATCCTGGGAAAGTCAGTTAATGTCTATCTGCCTTAGTTTCCTCAAGTATAAAATCGCCCTTTCCTTTCTGTTTCCACAGTCATTTTTACCACTTTTAGTTCAGTTTAATTCACCCTTCCATGTTTCCCTTCCCAGAGTAGTTCCAAGTTGAGAAAAGACAGAAAAACCTAATGGGAGTTTGAGAAAAGAGTAGGTGAGGATTGACATTGGGCAGCCCCTGTGGCTTTCTGATGCAAACTGGGGGCCCTGCTATGTCCTGCAGCTGCAGAACTGTTCCACGTCCCTTTCCTAGCACAGGTGGGTTGTATGTGTGTGTGTGTGTGAGAGTGAGAGAGAGAGAGAAAAACATAGCTGCCACAGAATGTCGTTAAAACATGAAGCTAACTTTCTTACCTTTTCCGGGTGGAAGAGAAAGGTTATATGGCTTGTATATCCAATAACTCAGGGAATACCCAGAGAACATAAAATTGCTTTATTTAACTGCTTAAAGAAATCAGGATATATTAGATAGAACAATTTGATGATATCCACCTCTAGCAGCTCCAGAATTACATTTGGTTTTTTTAAAAGCTTTACATTTGGGGCCAAATACTTTCTTGGAATTTATTTGGCCTGTTGGTTTAGATTTGCCTTGGCCCATTTTACTCAGTAACATCACTCTTGTCACATTACTTGTGTGACCATGGACTAGTCATTTAACCTCTGTTTCCTCATCTGCAAAATTGTACCCTCAGAGTTAACACAGTGCACGGCACTTATTATGTGCTTAATTAATACTTGTTCACTGATTGTAAAATGAAGGGGTTGGACTCAGCAGCCTCTAAGGTCCCTTCCACCTTTAAATCCATGATCCTATGTTAGTAACGAATTCATTTTACAGGAGAATGGCAGAACAGTGGGGGTAGTGTATCATCTTGGATTGGACCACAGCAGAGCATGGGTGTGGCATACTGTGAATTTTATCTGATCCCAGTGGAATTGCAGTAGTAAAAACAAGAAAACAAGAGTGGTTGCTGTAGTTTCAAAATAAATTATCTCACTGACTCAATTCCACTTTATGCAAAGGGAACTGGGTAAACAATGGAGGGAACCCTAGGACTGCTTCTCAGAAAACCTATTTAGTGCTTTGGGGTTGGGAGGAGGAAATGAATAGATTACCTGCAGAAAAGGTTGGCTCTGAATGACAATGATAAAAGTAATTCCTAGGAAGCACATATAAAAATTTTTTAAGCCTTATATTCATATTTGACTATTTAATTCTTAAGAATTTATCCCTAGTATGTGGCTCTCTGAGCCTGGTAATGCCTGCCACCCACTCTTCTGCAGGAGGCAAGTAATCAGACTTGGTGCAAATTGCATTAAAATGAAAGTTTTCAGTTCACATTCAAAGCTGTTGTTATATTCAGAGCAAAGGAGGACCAGTTGGTTTTGGTTTAGATATGTAATTAGTAGACTTAAGTTTTTAAAAGTCCATTATTAGGAACCACCTATCTTAGGGAATTAGCATTTTGTACTTGTAGTTTCCTCTCGTAGAGGGAAAAACATCTTGACCCGAGCAAACTTTTGCCGAAGTCTGAACCCTCACTGTCCTTAGAAATAGGTTTGTCAGATACCTCTGAAAGATCTCCCATTTTTATGAATCTGTGACACTGTAAGGATTTGGTCCCTATGTCATGGTTAACTTTTACATTTAAAACAATTCTTTCCTTTTTATTCCACAGATGTGTCTTTTATCTCTAATAATTTCAGGTTTTCTCTCTAAAACTTTTCTTTTAAAAGTTTTTATTGTTGTCTTTTGTTTCTTTTATCATAATTGTTATCCCCAGCTTCTTTCTCCCTTGCCTGTGCCATCCCGCATAGTAACTAATGTTGTTTAAAGAAAAAGAAATCAGCACAACTGATTGATAAATGAAAAGGTCAGAAAATCTGTGTAATGTGTAACCCTTGTGGAGCTCCCACTTCTGCAGTGAGCTGGGTTAGAATTGTCTTCTCATCCCTCTTCATTCACATCCTGTTTTACATGTATATATATAGTTTTACTGCACTCATTTTTAATTTTTTTGGGGGGGTATATCTTTTTTTCCCCCACTTACATGGTCTCTCTAAACTCTTGACTGCCTTTTTCCCATGCCAAAAAACAATCAGTTCTACATTATTTAAAGTTTGTTTTGATGAAAAGCAGAAATTTGTCTATGTACATAACCAAACTTTAGGAGAAGAGAGGAGGGAAGAGGAAGGGTAAGGAAAGAGAAAAGAGGAGATGAGACTTGGCCCTGCAGTCATCTTTGTGTGGCTAATGAATGGCTGGGGATGTCCAGAAAGGAACTTCTGTAAAAAAAGTATTTTATTATAAAGGTGAATTACAGATGGATTATATGATCCTCGAAGGCCTCTTCCAATTCTTAATAGTCTATGAATCTGGGCCTATAAACTTATTTTTGTTAAGTCCAGGAACATGTTTTCTAATGTTGATTCTGCCCCTAATTGGCTTGGTGACTGTTCACACATCACTTAACCCATTCAGTTTTGTCATTCATACCATGTTGGAGTTGGACCTCCAAGGTCCCATCCAACTTTGTGATTTGATGACTTTCTTCACATCTGGAAATATACTTAGAAAGTTGACCTCTTGAGTTACCAGAATGTCTGCTTCTCCGGAGGTTTTTTTTTGTTTTTTGTTTTTTTTGAGGGGGAAATTAGCCAGTTCTTAGCACTCTACCTTTAAGTATTTATTTCACATGAGATTTTCCTTCTCCCTTTAAAATCAGGTTTACTTATGTGCAATGTTTTCAGAGCATTATTGCACTCAGTAATCATGATGTTTGAATTCAAATAGTTCATTTATTTCTCTTCTAATAGGCTTCTCCAACAAGACAACATCTGAATTTGGTTGCTTCTGGTTCTTGGACTAAACAGCTGGTTTGTCATCCTTCAACAAATTTCTGGACTGATTGGTTAAAAACTGTAAGTTTTTATCTTTGTAAGTTATCATATGTTTTCTAGAGGTACAGAATTTGTCTAGCTTATTCTAAAGATTTTCATGGTTCTGACTTATTTCTGTCATATGTTGGTCCTTAATGCCAATTAAATGACTCCTTTATCTTTGTTATTACTTTTCTATTTATTATTACTATTCTGTTTGGCAAAAACCTCCCAGACAGAGATGTAGGGGAGAGAAAATTAGAGGAAAAGAATTCTTTATGTAAAAGATTTAGTAAGTCCAATTTTCATAAAGCCCTTATGTTAGTGAGCATCCCTAATGCATTTATGGGGCAGTTTGGTGGTACAATGGATAGAGTCCCAGGCCTGAAGTCAGGAAGACCAGAATTCAAATCTGACCTCAGACACTTGATAGCTATGTGGGAAAGTCACTTAACCCTGTTGGCCTCAGTTTCCTCATCTGTAAAACAAGCTGGAGAAGGAAATGGCAAACCGCTCCAGTATCTTTGCTAAGAAAACCCCAAATTGGGTCACAAAGAATAGGACATAGCTGAAAAGACTGAACAACAACTAATGCATTTAGAAGAATCCTACGGATAAAGGATTAATAAATAATAATAATAGGAATAAACAAGAATATAGGAATATAGTAATAATAAAGGAATAAACAAAGTGAATGCCCCAGTTTAATGACATTGTAACTCAGCATTTATTTTAAAGGGAGTTTTATGTAAAATCAAGGAACATGTATCAAGTTGGGACTGAGGTAGATCACAATATAAGATGTTAAAAAGAGTGCTTTCCCTAAGGTTCGAAGTGAACAAACACAACTAATAACTGGTGGAAGAGTATTGGGGGAGGATGATAGGCTATAAGGCAATGCCCATGGTGTTTGGAATATTCTTTAACTCAGCACACAGACATGGCATTTAGCATTTACCTAAGCTTTCATGATAGATAAAATTGCTTCCCTATCATTCAGGATTAAGGACTTGAATAGAAAGGAGAGGGTTGTCAGTAGTACAGCTGGGATTGCTGATTGCTTATGTTATTTCTTCTCGTGTTAATTCTTGTTCTGCCCTTTCTTTGGTAGCGGTTTACCAGCTTCTACCTTAATAGTGGAGGTTTAAAAGCACTTTATCTTTACTGGATTTGCCTTACTCAGATAGTCTGAAGAACCTTGATTAAGGGAGACAGGAATGAACATGGAAAATAAGAAAAATATAAACTAGTTTCTTTGGATCCCGTCCTCACTCACTCTGGGCAGTTCACTTAAAGGGCAAAATGTGTTTTTTAAGGACCGTGTTTTCCATGTTTTCATTCTGCCCTGGAATGACTTGTCATGATCTCTTGTGTTTAGGGGAGAGGTGAAAAAGAAGTATCTGGAGATAAATTTCCTCCTGCTTTGATTAAAAGTGAATTTCTGAATTGAAAGCAACTCACAAGGGACTTCTGTTTTCAGAGCTGGTCTGCCTGTGGTAAAGAAAAAGTAGGAAACGAAGCCTTCGTGCTTTTATGGTTTTTATGTTACTGTTTTGGCTCTTCAGTCTGGGCTTTGCATCACCACAAGGGTCTGTGGGACGCCAAACCACTTGTAAACTGTAGAACTAAGCGGAACAACTGGTTAGTCACTGTTGGGTTTTCAGTGTCCAAATATTAGTGCCCTCGGATTGAATGTCTCACATTTTCTGTGAAAATGGGTATGAGGAGGGTAAGCATCATTACAGCAGGGAGTTCCTACAGCATCAAGTCTTAATCCCTTCCTGGCCTGTGTCTTCCATGGAACATTGGAATGCCTCTTCAGACAAAAGACCTTGAGTTCAGGTTTGATTTTCAAAGCACCTGTTCATTACTAGCTAGTCATTACTCTGCTATCATGAGCCTTTGGTACAAGGTACCAATGTGATATTATTGCTAGATAAGAATGATGCCATAGGGTGAGACCTTGCTGTTCCAGTCTTGCAGAGATGTGGTTAGCCACAGACCCAGGAATGAAGTAGTGCCATGTTGTAACCTGACCCTGTCCATAATTTATGTTGTGGGCATAGCCTAGTGACAGTGATCACGATGATAACCACACCATTTCTTTGTGTCTTCTTCTGTAAAATTGAGCTAATACTTTGCCTCATGGAGTGACTGCTAAGGAATTGATGATGATTGTATGTAAAAGGACTTTTTAAAAAAGTTGGCCTTCAGCTTCATATTTGAAGATGTTACCTCCTAGGGTGATTAACTGTGGATGGGCACCAATGAAGCAGAGTGGCCCACAGTCCTGTGCATAAATCATGTTCATTCCTGACTCTGCAACTTTGTTCTTCCAGCTGTCTTGGAGTAAGCTGCCTCTTCCTTTTTCCTTATATAAATCCTGCATTTTCTAGGGTTGTAATGGGTGAACATCAGTTGCTAACAACTAGTTTTCTTGTAACTAGAATCACTTGGTGTGGAATTATGGTGAGCGTTATTAAGAAGAGTTCGTAATGATAGGAAGTAAACTTTTCTAGATGTTGCTGTTCTCCAAATGAGAACTGCGATGCTCTGCATTTATTTCTTAACCCTCATTCTTAACATTTTAAAAAATCTGATTTTTAGTGATCTTAAAAAAAATCGTCAGTTAAAAAGATATCCCATGTATTCCTTCCTTTCCACCTTCTTAGAAAGCTGTTTCTTATAACAAATAAGTTAAAAAAAGAAAAAGAATTCAGCAAAACTGATGAATGCATTGAAAATGTCTAACATATACAGTGTTTCACTCTTGATCTCTGTAAAGGAGGGGAGAGAGGTGTCTTTTCATATCTCTTCTTTGGGGCCAAGCTTGTTATTCATAGTTTTGCAACATTGATTTTTGATTGTTTTGTGGTAGTTGTTCTTTCCATTTATATTGTCATAGTTGATCACTATTACAATAGTACTGTTACTATGTACATTATTCTTTTGGTTCTTCTCATTTCGCTTTGTATTGGTTCATATAAGACTTCCCAAGTTTTTTTCAGAAACCGTCGTGCTTGTCATTTCCTATAGTACTATAGTATTCCATCACAATCATATACTACACTTGTTCAGCCATTCTCCAATTGATGATCATCCCTTGAGTTTCCAATTCTTTTGCACTTGTAATCTTGAAGAATACCATGTAATAATTTTTTGGGATGGTTCTGGGAGGTGGTAGTTTTTTTTTTTTTTTTCCCCAGTGCTTATACACATGGGTGTGTTAAATCTGGGAATTTATTTTACTTTAAATTTCCCCATCAGTAAGATGAACATGTTGTATTATACAATCTCAGAGGTCCTTTGAAGCTCTAACATTTTAAATTTGTGATTTTAGACTTGAAGACCCATCTTTTGTCTTAGTCCTTCCACAAAGACCTCTTTTACCATTCTAGTCTACATTGCTTTCTCCTCTTTTAAAATTCCTATGCACTTGCGTCCAAGATTATAGTTTGGCATTTGATTCTTCTCTTATCATTTAATGTCTTTTTTGTCTGTACCCCCTCAGCTGTGAGCTTCTAGATATCCTATAGGCATCTTAAATTCAGCATATCCAGAAGATAATTGTGAAAAGAAAATGTTTGTGAAATTTTTTGTTTCCACAGAAGTTAATGTAAAAACAGGATGCCTGTGAATTCGTATATGTCCTGATTAGCAGATACTCTTTAACTACAAATAACTAACAGCTGTTCTTGCATACAAGTATTGACAAATAACTCACAGCTGTTTCTGCATCTGCGCATGCTTAATCGGCTTCCTTGGGGTATAGGAGCTTGCTCTTGCTTCTGTATCCGTATGTGCATGCTCTTTGGGAGCAGCACACACCTGCTTCTTGCAAGAAATGAAATAAAAGCCTTCCTCTCTTCACTCTGTCTTTGAGTTGAGTACTTTGCTCGTTTCTATCAGAATGAATGATCTTTCTCCTCAGACTTTCCTCACTTGTAAACTTTATTACTGTTGAGGGCAACACGGTCCTCCCAGACACCCCAGCTTGTAGCCTTGGCATCATCCTTGATTTCTCCTTCTTGCTCATTCCACCCATCTAATCCATTGTCAGAGCTCACCGTTTTTACCTTCACTACAATTTTCATATATTCCTCCCTTTGCTTCATTCATGGAGCCACAGTCCTGGTTGCATTCCCACAGGCCCCCTTCCCATTTTGCCTGGAGTAACATGAAAGCCTTCTCACTGCTCTTGCTGTTAATAAGTCTATTATCAGATTGTCCATTCAGCTACCAAGGTGACTTTTTTTTCTACATAGGTCTGACCCTGTCACCCCCTGCTGAATGACTCCAGTGGCTTCCCTGTTACTGCCAGAATCAAATATAAAATCCTTTGACATTTAAAGCTTTTTGTAAGCTGGCCCCTCCTTACCTTTCCTGTCCTCTTATACCTTACTTCCCCTCCACAAACTCTAAGGTTCAAAACATTGGCCCGATTGCAGTTCCACACATAAGATCCTCCATCTTCTTGTCTTTGTAGATGTTGTTCTGCATGCGTAGAATTCTCTGTCCCCTCACCTTTGACTCTTACTTTCCGTAGGTTTCTTCAGGACTTCGTTCAAAGCCCACCTTTTGCAGGAGACTTTTCCTAGTCTCCCCAGCTGCTGATGCCATCCTCTTTCATATTACTCCATTGCTTATGCATGCATCTTTTATGTATCTAGTTATTCACATATTATCTTCCCCTTTAGAATGTGGCCTTCTAGAAGGCAGGGGCTGTAAGTCTTTTGCTTTTCTTCAGTACTTAGCACATAGTACATGCTTAATAAATGCTTTGTTGACTGATGAATAACTTTAGGGCAGGGATCGTGCCTGATATTTCTTTATCTCCTTAACATCTCGTATACAAGAAGCAGTCAAATATTTCTGGTCATCCTAAACCCAAAAGGGACAATTCTTTCTGCGACATGATCCATGGAATTGGGGAGATAATTCTTGAGTGTGACTACAGCTGATACTTGTAAAACTGTTTCGAACTTGACCTCTCAATCACCTGGTTTTCCTGATGCTCTTGTTGGAAGAGAGCCACCAGGGTC